GAAATTTCAAGAGTTACTCTTGGAGGCTGATCTGAACCTCTAGCTTGTAGACACCACTCTAAGCTTCATGAACGTTACTTCTGAAGAAACTTCCTCAACCTCCTATGCAACTCCAAGTACAGATTAAGGTGACAATTATCTCTGAGACACTACCCCCTCCCTAGAATGAGTATTTTTGAGATTGATTTTTCTGTTATGCCTCCCTGCGGTTAACTAGGGTAAGTGAAAGGTGCTTCTGCCCGTCCTCGGCCTCCAGCTTCACAGAGATGGTGGCACAAGGCCCCTCCTCGCGTTTCACAACCATTTTCACTTCCCCAAACCCTTCAGATAGAGCCTGCATCATGTGTTCATTTCATCACTGCCTTCTCACAGTGAATGAAAATACAACTGCCCAGCACTGAAGAAGATAGAGGAGAAAATGGAGTGGGGTAAGGGGGAGAAATCTGCTGGGTATTTTAACTATTAGAATCTGCATGTTTTCACTAATGCTTTTATTAGTAAGTCATTAAAAAAAAAAAAAAAAAAAAAAAAAAAAAGAGCCTAAATCAAGTACATGAAATGTATATATTGCATCTTGTCAAGAAGTAGTAGACTCTTTTGAGGGAAAGCACCAACTCCTGGGATGTCAGTGCTAGAACCTGCCCACGGCCTGGCACAGACATCAGAAATGAACACACTCCTGTCGTTAACCCAAACATCTCACTCATGTCTACGAGATACCAGTTCCTAAGCCACACCAGCTCGCTCCCCACACTCACCCCTGCCCCTGGAAGACGAGAGCTTTTAATCACCCATTCACACTGCAGCCAGCACGGGGGTCTCCAGTGCAGTGCTGCGTTATGCAACGCCTGGCAAACCTTGGGCTTTGTCCTCACCACAGCACACCAGCTATATCTAAAGACAACATGGTTAGTTTTGAGATGCTTATAAAGACATGCTTAAAAAAAATCCTAACTTAATCATAAATTGCTTGCAATATAAGCTAAAAATTGATATTCTTGCCAGCAGGTATGGAAACAGTCTTTTAGAGGTACTGGGGTTAAACTTTTTTCTGACATTTATAATATTCAGTGCTGCAAAAAAAAACTCTGTAAAGAATAATTGCTCCCACAGGGACCAATCCATGGGTCACAGTTTTTTGCACTTGACAGCAACAGAGGCTTGAATGAGATTTTCTATAAAACCTAGACTTAAGCTTGCAGCATAATCACAATGTTTGCCCTAGCTCAAGAAGCTAAACTAAAGTACCACTTCCACAGTGTAATTATTCCACATATGTTCCAAAGAGCCATGGGGAAATTTTATTATTCAGAAGAATAAATAGGGCAAAAATAAATCGGTTTTAATTTTAGCCAATTTTTACACTTCTTATGAATTTTCATTTTTCATATGCAAGTTTAAGTCCATGGGAGAGAGGATTTGCCTTGAAGAAATAATTAAACTTTCATCTTCAGTTACGCTTCTTAGCAAATACACAGCCACCCACATGGTGCACAGCACACAAATGCTATTCAGTGACATAAAATGCCAACATAATCACCAATGCTTCATAATCTTCCTTTCAGTCTCAAATTGAATATTTGACGTTCAAACTCCTGTCCAACAACGCAGTGTAAGCAGTAGTGCAGCAAGGGCTTAGCTTAGAAGCAGGTTGGGTTCTCAAAGTAAAGCTTAATTTGCCCTGAACACTTTCTCGACTACTTCATTCTTAAAAAATAATGCAGTAATTTGTTGTACGGGATATGTAAACCTACAGCCCTGAGGATAAGAAAAGATTATAACACTCAATTTGTGATGACAATGTGTGAGGGAGATTTAATAAACCTGCTGAAGTCAGAATTTTTCTGGAAAGGAAAGCAGAGGAAACAGAACTTCATCCAGTCCAGGAAGATGCAGGCACATTTTGCAACTAAGACTTCTTATAACACATTTTCCAGTTTCTGAGAACACTTTTTTATATAAATTCACAGGCCAAACAAACTACTACAAAAGCCTTCTCTGTGCAGGTCAAGAAACCTGCCTCAGAGCAGATCTGAGTCTCCAAAGACTGTTCACGAGGCAAGAAACCGAAGCCCCGCTGGCTCGTGCACTGGCTCTGGGCATCAACACTCGGGCTCCGCGCGCCACGGCCCCGGCCGCGCTGCTGCCGGGAGCTCTTTGAAGAGAAGGGCAGAAAGACTCAACAGCAACAAGGAGAATAACACAGATGGATGGGATAAAACATATGGACTGATTAATTCTCGATGTGTATGCTGCACCACAGGCCCGGAAAATAGATATATTCTTCTTTTCCTTTTTCAAACACATAATAAAGAAGAAAACTTAGCCTGGAGAGTTGACCAAACCTAATGCATTAACCAGTGCCAAGCTTCCCATTTCAGAGCAAACTGCAAGGATTAAACAGGCCAAAGGCTATCAGTGCATCAGTTAAAATATCCTAAACTTCACACAATCCTAACATAACAACTTACAAGTACAAGGGACACCAGAAGAACCTCACACAGCTTTCACAAACTATCTGCTGTCCACAGAGAGGGTAAGGATGCTGCCCACCCTTAGCCATCATTGACCAACTGGACATAAGATTCATCTGGAAAAGAAAAAGCAGCAAAAATCCTGCACGTTGCTCTTCTATTGTTGCTTCTGCTGCTGCAGGATAGACTTTGGAATCATTTTACAACCGCGTCTCATTCCAAGGGGCCATTTAGGTCTTAAAATTGTTCTCTTTAGTTAAAAAAAATAAGATTCAAAACCTAGTGTGGTAAAAATAATAAAAATGGACAGGAGGCACTGCTTTAGAATTTGGTAAACACTGTGGTGTAGAAGAAATCTCCAGCCTTTTAGAGCTTCCTAAAGCAGGAGTCACAGAATCACAGTGATAGTAAGTCCAAGTTAGTATTTCCTGTTTAAATATTTTGATGGATATACATAAAAATAGAACAACTTAGCTGAAATCATAATTTTTTATCACATACTTCTCAGACTGAGGTGATTTATCATTTTGCTGTATTTTAATAATATAGGCATTACAGCGCAGAGTTCATCAAAACTAAAACCCTTTAATTAAACAGAAGATTAATTAAACATGAGATAAGCCCAAACACTAAACAAACCACTTCAGAGAAAATCCAAAATCTGACCTACCAGAATAGCTTTATATGCAATTACACATGCTGTGAATTACTGTTTGTAGATAATTAGCTTGGCTGTCTCCTTAAGTCAACCAACCACATACTAAAGTTAAGTAACATCAAAACAAAAAAAAATCAAAACAAACAAACAAAAACACACACAAACTCCACCACAACAGGGCTGATTGGGCTTGCAGCTAAATGCATTCATTTTCGATACACTTCAGTACAAACGCATTATTGGTTAAAAATCATTTGCTGGTGGTACATAGCCATACAGAACACTTCCAGTGTATTTTTGCTTTAAACCTTTATTAAAAAAAAAAAAAAGAAGTTATCATCAAGGGATTTCTCCATAATTTACTTTATTTACTTCCAATTATTTCTCAAAGAATGATTTCAATAATTGATCAGAAATATGTTAGCTTTTACATATTGTTTATTCTTAAATATATTTCCTAGAGTATTTTAACACTTGTTTGCTGTATTATGCAGCATAAGTAACTTGGTTCATTTTTCTGCAGGATGGCTGCTGAACTTAATGAACAAAGATATGATAAATCTTAGGTCCCGAAAGTTGTAACTGAAAAATTTTAATTGTTTTGGGGATCTCTGTAATTATTCTTCCTAAAAGACAGAATTAGTAGGGCTTTGTACTCAGAAACAGATATACCACATATACTACACAATGTCAAAGAACTTGAAGAATATGAATATTCTTGACAGCTAAGATGACACCATTAAGAGCACTTCAGGACAAGCTCTCCTCTGTTGCTTTCCGTTGATTTCCAGAGCCAAGGTTTTACCATCAGAACATATAGCACAGGCAATGTACATAACTTGATATTTTCCTGTCAATTTTGACCTGTAGCTGCAAGTCTGTAGACCAGGAGCCTACATAGTCTATAGAACTTGAAACTCTTTAGATGCAACCCCAGTGTTTCCATAGTGCTTATGTTCTAGGGCATTACCTGTTTTGTGCCCTGCTAGGTGCTTCATGCCCACCACCCTCATGACAAATATCAAGGTCACTGGATTTTACCTCCCATAGTCCCCCAATCAACCTGCTTCCTAGCATTTCAAAGTGACAACAACGACCAATAAACTGAGATATGACTATTTCTACTCCTTCATTATGCTAATCCTTGGAAAAATAAAGATATATGCTTGATAAAAATAAATGGACAAAGTGATCAAAACTGTGTTTTACAAAATAGATCAATAATAATCTAATGAAAACCTTGATTTAAAAGAGGAAGCAATAATTTCCTTGTAGTTAGACACGTCATTACTCTATTGATTACCAGCAATCTCTCCTATATGCCTGTATGCATTACAACAACTACAGTCTTCAGCAAAGACTTCCGTGCTGTATCCTTGCTGACTTCCTATCAGATGTCCAAAGTACTGTGCAGAACTCCCGGCACAGGCAGTAGTGACTTGTAATTGCAGGTGAAATGTAACTGAGCACTTCCTTTTATAAGGCTCTCGAACACTCATCTATGTAGCTGTCTCGGCATAGCCAGCATAATGGCAATGTTTACCCATAAACCCGGCTTTATTGGATGCCTTCTAACAATAATAATGGTTATTTTGTAAAGTTACTGTCAATTACTAAACTCCAAGAAGAGAATTATACTGCACTAAACCATAACCAAAAAATAATCAACCGTCATCAAACATATGCCTGAAACTGATGAAGTGCCACCTCAAAATAATAAAATAATTCTTCAAATAGTCCTGAAACAGCAACGAGCTCTCAGCTTCTACTAAAATCAGCGCTATTGCTTTTCCTCACTCAGCTATTGCTTCTACACCCACTAAGGAAAAGCTTTTTGCTTTTATTACATTTGTTGAAAGGACTCTTACCTCTCCAACTCGTATTCTTTCATGCCTGCTTTTACTGCCTTCATTACCTGTAAGATACATATTAACATGGGACCTTCTTAGCAAGAGGGAATCTCAAATTTATAAATTTATGATTGAATACCTCTAGAGGAACATATATTAAAAAAAATCATCTGTACTTCATTTGAATTTATATCAGTAGAATCATTTTAAAACTCTATTAGAAATCAAGCTCATTTTAATCTTTATGAATGCCTGCAGTCTCCAGCAATAAAGCACATTTAATTGCCACAAGTATATCCTAATGAAGTGCAGCTCATCTAAAAACCCATGCTTAATTCTGAAAGCTCCAGTGAGCTTGGCAGCAAGTCCTCTTGTTTTACTTTTATGAAATACCATCAGAAAACAAACCTGTGAACTGGAACATACAACAACAGAAAATTTTCTTTCCTACTTTGCAATTTGAAAAATTCCTAGAGCTAACATTGGGTTACTTCTCAGAATTGTGCTCTCAGATTTGCTGAAAATGTGCCCCCCAGTTTTATTTCTTCGCCTGATAATGGATTATGAATTTTAGCAGTTGCTGTGTGGAAGGAATCATCTCAGATGGGATGAATTTGTTCAAGGATGATGAAGGGCGAAGGGAAATTAACGCAAGTCCTTCTATTCATAGACTTCGTAACTTTACAATATTCCCTTTAAAATATTTTCACACTTCATAAACAGCCCAGACACTTGGGGAGTAGGGACAAAGACACCAGTTGGGTCCATGACCTCATCAGCTACTTTAAATTTTCACTGGTGACCAGTCACAACTCACAGCACCTCTGCACCCCAGCACCCCCAGGACAGCCCTGACATCCGAGCTCATTTTGTGACCCAAACCCACAGAGCTCTTTTTTCTCCATCTCTGCACAGGTCTGTCTGTGCACACAGGAGAGAGAGATTGCAAGCAGGTCACCTTCTGCTGAGGCTCCCCAGCTCTTGTCCAAAACCACACTTCATTTCTCACAGATCACAAATGCACCGTTGAGTTCAAGGACAATGCAAGGTGTATTACAGGCCTGTAATAGGAGGCATATTATCCTCTTATTTCTCTCCAGCCTTTCCATTATTTTATTACTAAGCAATTCAGGGTTGCTGAGAACATTTTCTGAGTACTACTGTTACACTAAGAGCAAAAATTATTAACAGTAAAGGATCCATTACCTCTTTATGGGCTTCACTGGAGATTTTATTGGTGTAGCGCAGAACTTCCAACTCCATGTCTGTCTTAATCACACGACTTAAAGAAAAGCAGAACAGAAATTAGGTTAGGTTGTAATTTGGCACACTAAGAATAAAGAACCCTGAAATACTATGCATCCCCTACAGTAAAATTGGATACACCTGAAGAGCGCACAACTCAAGAATGAAGAGCTATTACAGTACTCACATTCAGCAGTGTTTTGTTGGCATTGATTCACCATTAGCAAAACAATCTTACAAGGGAAAGTTACAGGCATTTGCAACTCAACCTGCATTACTTTAATGCTAATAAACAAGTTGTCCAATCAACATTTTCTCAACCCACATTAGGAACAAAAGCAATGAACTTCTGTATTTGTCATAGCTCAGACATTACTTCAAATAGAAGATATCTACAAGCACAGTCGATTTACTTTTTAAATACAATTTGAAGCTAGTTTACATAATGAAATTCTTACAGCTCTAGAATTTCTATTTAGCACAAGCACAACTCCTACCTATTTGTGATATCAAAAGCTGGTGTGTGTGTGTGTGTGTGTGTGTGTGTGTGTGTGTGTGTGTGTGTGTGTTGGTGGTGGGGAATAACAGGGGGAACTCAAGCGCTATTTCTGCTCCGTATAAGAAAAAACATGAAATTCAGAAAATACTGAAGCAGTAATTAAAGCCACAATGTCCATTCTCTTTCACACATTTCCAGGAAACAAACCAACCAACCTTTTTCATGCCCTATGAGATAATGAATTTGTGCATATTTAGAGCTTTGATGCTCTGCTCTGATCTCAAATATTCAAAAATTTACTATTTACTTGCACTTTCTACGATATCCAATTAATTGTGTGGAAACATTTGAGCTATGTCTTTGCATTCCACTCCAGCACTTGCAGCAGTTACAAACTACTATAAACTCTTGGAATTTGAAACTGTCACGGAGACATTGCTTTTTTATTGTTACATACTCCTATTCATACTGCTGTAGAAGACTATTTATTCTATTTCTGCTCCTGTAGTTTGTTTTAATGGGTCCAGACACAGGTTTCTGAGCCATCAGCGCCTCTGATGTGTGTTAACAGCATTTTCCCAGCGACACTGATTGCACTGCAACATAGCACAATCACTTCTTTTCAAATACAACTTAAAAAAAAAAAGTTAAAATGCTGATAACTATCAATGTGTTCTCACAGAGTGACACTAGTAGAGGGGAATGGTTTTGACATGCTTAGTAAATTGTGGTATGACACAAAAATAATCATTCCACATGTTGAGAGATTCTTAAATGCATGCAAAGGTGAAAAATTACACTGTAAAGGTGTAATCTGTTCACCACGGATGAGAAAACAAACTTCTGCTTCTGCTTTTTAGCCAAGACATAAAGAACAGCAGCTCAAATATATTCATGTTAGACTGAGGGAGTAACAGCTTATAGATCTTTTTTTTATTGTGTTCTTTGGAAGACTGCTTGTGCTAGCAGGGTAATTTAATACTTGTCTGATGTGCCTTTATATTACTTTCAATATACAGTACATATTCCTGATCTGCAAATATCTGAGAAATAGTTCTTTCATAATTCAGATATCTAATCTCTTCATTGGAATCTGCAAGCAATACAAGTTAATAACTGCTCAAATGCAAACAGTATTAGAATCTGTTTTACTTGACTAGGTCATAAGGCTTCAGGGTCAAGGTATTCACTTCAGACCTCTGGTGCCTTTTTGCATATAGAAATTCATGCTCAGCCTCAGATTTAGATTTTTCTTTTTTATGGAATCCACCACCCTCATCTACACAAGGTCAAGTACTGAAACATTTTTACAGAAAATGTTCAGTCTCTCGGAGACCAATAAACAGCACTACACAAGCACCACAGAGAAGGCAGGGAGGATGTACAAACATGCAGGAACAGGATCAAATTTGCATGCAAACAGATCCCCCCAAGAAGGGATCTCCGGGGTCCCAGGCTGCCTGCAACGGCAGTGCAGCAGGACAGATATCCAGCCCCTCTGCGAGCAGCTCTGCTTGCAGGGCCAGGAGAGAAGACGCTGTTCCCGAGCAGGCAGAGAGTGCAGCCTGACCCTGGCGGCAGCCCAGGGAGGACAGGGCCACTTCTGCCAGGCCTCTTCCTTACCTGCTTTTAACATAATGATAGGAAGAAAGCACTACACTTGTGCACTAGGATGAACTTCAATGTTCTGCTAAAAACAGCTCTTGAGGCAGTTACGCACTCTGAATATGTTCATTATTATTTTTTACTTAAAAACAAATAAAAATATACAGAGCTAGCTGGTAACACAAGTCTCCAATTAATAGGTAAACTCTTCAGTGCAATCAAGTTAAAGTAGAAGCACAAGTCTGTTATTGTCAGGATTAATTTCTTTTTTTTTTTCATTTTAGTATGGTAGAAAGTTTTTTCCTCCCTCTCTTTCCTCTCCCATGTACACTCGCTGTTTTTGTCTATATTTGCCATAAGAGAAGATCTCCTTTTTATACAAGAGAAAAAAGCTTGAAGTAGGAGCAAGTATTACATCAGTCATACATGACCAACTTTCCATTAATAGGTGTTCCAAAGGAAACAGAATTCCAGGCATTTAGAGACATTGCACTAGCACAACTCCACCACACCTTCCTAAGCCAGTGCTTTCTCCAAAGACAAACAAATGTTTTCTTCTCCAAGTGCATTCACCATCATAAGAACACCAATAATAATATTTAGTTTCCCATTATCAGCTTAGTGTTTATGAACCCTCTTGTTTCATTGGTTTTAGTAAATACATGCAACTTTAAAGGTTGTTTTCTGTGACAAACATGGAAAACAAGCAGGAACATCCACTTCCCCTTGTCCTTTTGGAAACATTGCCAGTTTGCTGATCCCCTAGTGATGGGTGGATCCAGCCCAAGTAACAGACCCTGCAGCCCTGACTTCTCCTCACACGTTACAAACCCTGCTGTTACCCTTCTACAGCTCATCTACAGCAATTACTCCCTCTATCACAGCTGATAAATATCTGCTCTTATAGAAGCTTTAGCATAAAAACTCGCTCTCTGAAGCAGTAATACAGCTAGTCACAACTTTTCTGAATCTATTTAAGCTGTGCCTCTGAAAAGCACATCCCCACAGCACAGCTTCATAGCTGCTGTGTCCTGCCTGCATTGCTCAGGATTCTGCCTCTCAAAGAACGGACCAACTCTCATATTAAAAATCAAACCTATAAGATAACTTCTATGTTGCAGAAAGGGGAGAGGCAGGATAACTAGGGTCCAAATTCTAGAAGTTTAGAAAAGTTGAGATTTAAAAACTGTCAGCCCATATGATTTTGTCTTATGGAAGACATGCATCCCTTTGCACCCATCAGCTGGATTTGCAGCAGCGAATCCCACTCCCGCACATCTACAGGTTCATCCGTGGTTCACTGCTGCAGAAACGCCAGTTTCCTGACGTTTTCCACTCATCTTATAAAATTTTTTTTATGCCATGCCAAGAGATGTATAATGGCTGTAAATGACCTACTAAAAATACCACATATTCTGAAGTAGAACTGCTGTTCAAAAAATGACCTTCTAGAATTCAAGCTGGCAATTATACGTAGATGAAGAAGCAGAAGATTGTTCTTAGCAAACATGTTAATAATAAGCATTAAAATGAATACAAAATAGCAGCATGCAATACAATAAGCTACACAAGAGCAGTAGTCAGACTGGGTGCTTTCCTGCTTACATTTTAGGATTCTGAGCTTATCTGTCTTAACCAAGGATTTGTTTTCTCATTTCCAGACTAATACACTCAAAAAGCTTTGTTAAAAATCTGGTTCATTAACAAAATTACACTATCTTGTCTCTTCAGCTAATATCCCAAATTAAAAACTAAAAAGACCTAGTTATTAGGCAATCTGAAGACAAAGTCAACAATGCTGATCAAAAGAGGAAAGCTGGGAAAATGCAACAACTTTGTATAGTCCTAATAGATTTTGTCACATCCTCTAATTTTGACTATTCTAGATGGCTTCAGTCAAATCCCCCTAGAACTGTAAAGTATAGTTACACGAATAATAAAACTGCAAAATGAACACTGTTAAAATAAATCCCAGGGAAGTAGTAACACCTTGTTAAATATTACCTATTCTGACACAGTTTTAATGCTATATTTGTTTTTCATTACTAGAATATAAATTATGCTCAGCTATTTTCCTATTCATCGAAATGTCCATATGGATGAGACTGTTAACTCCAAAGGCTTTATATAAAATATGTTACTGAGAATAGATGCTCATTTCTTAAAAAATGTTACCTGATTCCTTCAATTTTCAATGCTGTTTCTTCATCACAGGTTTATTTCTGTATATTATTTCCATCCTGAACTTGAAATTAACTAAAAATTAAAACTCACATAGTAAACTAGGAGGCCTCTACTGGGGGAATCTCTTAAGTGATGCAAGACACATTTCCAACAGTACTCAGAGAATATTTTATTCTACTCACCATTCTGCAATTTCGGGATGAAGGATTTTATTGTTCACATTAAATCTATCAAACAAAAGATATAAACATTAAAAAACACCTAGACACACAACAGTATAGAGTGTTTATTTACTTTTTGATTTCAAAAGAAGGCCTTCTCTGAAGTTGTAAAAAATTACAACATCAAATATATCAGCGTTCATTAATAACAGTATAACTCCCAGTGTGAAGAATGCACATACTTATTTTCACTGCGCAAGTATTCCACTCTGAAACACATGAGACTAAACCATGTACTTATAAGAATGCCCAGGAAACAGGGTAATGGTATGTGGAAGAAATGTCTGGAAACCTTCTTTTGACCAAGGTGAAATTTCCTACATGAGCAATTCCTGCCTTCTTGGAACTACACTGAGGCTCTCTAACAGTGACACCGGGGTGGCCGGTGGAGGAATGAAGTGCAACACAAAATAAATCTATTTCAGGTTACTGGTCATTCTTTATACCTCAGAAGGGATCAAGAAAAGCACAGATCCAATTAAAATTTGGAAGTCACTTCTAATCACAGCAGGGTCTTATTGTGCCCTTGGGTAGCAGAGCAGAAACCTCTGTTTCTTTTTTCCTGGAGCATATGCTCAGAAACCTGTAAAAGTTAAAAAGGTGAAGGTCCTTAGCTTGGTGTTCCTGCTCCAAGCTCATCAGAGAGAAAACAGCAACTTCTCACAACCATTCAATGGAGCCACATTATTGTGAACATATTATTATTGTGATATTATCACTTATCACAGCATTCTCAAATGGAGACAGCCTTGTAACACCAGAGAAAAAGGCACTTTTAAGATCTGAATAACATCACAACAACTTTTATTTAAAGAGTTCAATGCAGAACTAATTCTCAAAAAGAAGAGAAACTTAATTAAAACATATACCAATCTATGATAACTCAAAAAAAAAAAAAAAAAAAACCCTAAACTCTCTACTTGGCTGAAGAGCCAGCTACTTAGCAACACCCGAGGAAACCAAGATGCAGAACAGTTTAAGCTGCGAACGCCACAGTGGATCCCAGGCCTTTCAATAATTATCATTGGATGTCAGGCAAAACGCAGATAAAGGCAAGTGTAAAGATACATTGCAGCAGTGCAGAAGCTCCATCACCAGCTCTAGGTAAACAACACAAGTTTAAGCAACTATCGTTATTATGGAAGTGAGGAATAAAAGAGAATATTGGGCAGGACAGGGCAGGTAGAGAAGGCTGCCACAAAACCTGAAGGCTGCCACAAAACCTGAAGGCTTCTCCTCTTTCAAGAACCTGACATACTTGCTTTAAGCGCAGATGGAGAAATCCAAGAGCAAATCCAAGAAGCAGAACAGCAAAACTCTGACCCTCGTGGCAAACAGGATTGTTTCGGTGGAGGGAAGCGCCGCCCCCGGTCCCGGTTTGTGCCCTCCCGGCCTCCCGGCGCCTCCGGCACCGCCTGGGGGCTGCGGAACCACCGCTCTGCTCGCTGTCCCTTGGGAGCGTCAATTAACCCCAACGAAGGATCAGAACAAGGGAGCACAGCGCTAGGCTGGGAGGTCACAGGCAAAACCAGTTTTATCTCTCGTCTGACAGTTTCTGATATAATGTCAAAATCTTAGACCTCAGAGACACGGCATCAATCCAGTTTCAGGCAAGAATCTCATATACTTTTTGTTCTGAGGAGCTCAAAACTGATGGCAGAACTGTCTCAGCTCTGCTTAGCCTGTGATCTCTGTGGATCTCTTTAATTAGTAATAAGGCAGCTGAACAAACCACCTTCTAAAAGTTACTGATTAAATGATAAGCTCAAGGGGAAGAACATGTCATCACTAGCAGGAATATGCAAATGGGGTGTTATTTACATTATTTTTATATAAAGTTCTACGTAAAATAATGCTACCTATCCCTCCAACAAGTCTAGACATTGCTAGAGCATAAATAACGTCCTATAAAAAGCACACGGACCATCCTAATACTAAGAGGATCATGCAGAGCAATCCAATTCCACGTTTTACTGCAATTTGCAAATTGACAGTACTTAAAAGATGAGAGATGTGTCTTGAGGAAAATAACAAATTGACATTTTGCTACAGTTACAATCTGTAACATGTGTTAATGCTCCCATTTAATCAACACAAAACTAAGACATATTACACTGAATGGCATGTTGAAATCAATTTCATACTCAGTTGTCCTTTAACGTGCAAAGCAATTTCATTAGGCTTTTCTTCTTTTTTTTTAGCAAGAAATCTCCATCTCCTGTATAATGAGACCATTTTTTCTCCTTAGTTTGCATAATACGCTTTGTGTGTATATGCTGATAAAATCTGTAGCTTATATTTATCCATGATATGAGAACTTTCTAGTCTTCTTCAACACAGAGGCTAGGTCCTCTAATGGTTGACTCCAGCAGGCAATGAGGAAGAGGCCTTGGCCAGCCCAGCTTCCCTGCCATTCCCAGCAGGTGGGCTAGGAAACAAAGGACTGAAAAACATTAAACATAAAACATTTTTTCACTGAAAAACATTAAGTACAATTGCATATTCTCTATCATTTACATCACTCAAGTCTGTCAATAAAATAAAAAATGTCTAGTGGCAGGATGCACAAAGCACCAGGTCAGCCACATCATCTCAGAGCCTCTTTACAAGTGCTACATAACAGACACATGATTCGATTAAAAAAATAAAATACTGAGTGTTTTCACATCTGAAAAGTGGGCCTATAAATTACCAAAAATGGAACTAGCCTTTATTGGCAGGCAGAAATATGTGTTTCTCAAAACCAGTGTGTTTGAACTACTGTAGAAATCTGTCTGCTGCATAGAATACACCTACAATAAATGAAAGCAAGTCATTTCTGCAGGATTCGTAACAGACATAAATAAAGCTGCTTTCAGGGAATTAGCAGGAACAGCAGCAGTAACCAGTGCAGCTCATCACTGTCCCACACCAGCCCCTCACTGAACCACGGAGCTGTGGTGCGTCACAGCGAGCAGCGTGTTGGTCAAACAAAGACCAAATTCTCCTTTTTATTTTTGTTTGGTTTTTGTTTCTTGTTTTACAGATTTCAGAGACAAACTTTCCTTCAATCTTATGTAAGCCTACTTTCTGGAAGGGACAAGAGGTGGCTATATATTAACAGACCATACGAGGCGATTATTTGTTATTAAGGGCTCTATTACCAGCAGATACATAAAACCAAGCTTGCGCATTGCGGGCAAGACAAAAATTACCTGGAAATGACCTTTAGGGTGAGGACAGGAAAAAAAACTATTCCACAAGGCAAGATGACTACTTATTACAGTGGAAAAATTAATCAAACAGTTTAGATGATTATGTTCTGGGAAAAGTTCGAAAGGTTGGAAAAGTAAGGGACAGAAGTAACATTGTTAGGGCAAGAAAAAGGCAGCTTCTGACAGGGGCAGATGAACAGCCTGCAGAGAGAGCTGTTTTGGGAAATGATATATTATTTCTATTATTATCCATAGCAAGAAATGTTCAGAGGCAGAGCCGGTTTAGGAGAAAAGAAACAAATAAGACTAAGGGAAACACAAAGGGGTCCTCGCAAGCAAATGCATCTCAACCAGGTAGCTGGAAAATGGAAGCAAACAAGCATAGGGAAATAAAATACAACCTCCTATGTAGGCTGAGTCCGACCAAGCAAAGGCTCACAGGCGAGAGCAGGCAACGTGAAGGCAGCTGCACATGCAAGGGAAGGGAAGGCTGCAGGGGCACATGGCTTGGTGCAAACTCTCCAGGTTCTACTTATCTTGGAAAAAAACAAAATGCTGGAAATCCAAACATTTTAATAAAAAGGAGGTGGAGAAATAGAAAAGATGAAACACTTAGATTGGTTTGCATCTATGTTGAGAAGCAAAACAGCATTGTTAATAATATATGTGGTTACAAGGCTGTGCAGAGAGATTTCGGGAGGAAGCCACGGGCTCCTCCGCTTCCCGACGAGCGGCGCTCAGTCTGTGCCACCTCCTGTGGGCATCGGAGCCACGCGGCTCCTAAGGGCAAATCCAGCTCCCTGGGGAAGAGCAGGGTGAGACTGGGAGACCCAAGGGTGAGGAGAGGGACAAGTGGTTAACAGGATGGAGGGAATCTACCAGCATATTCAACCACAAAAATCAAGATTTCTTCCATACTGCAAGCAGGGAAAAAGAGACACAAAACAGAATGAAAATTATCTGCTGAACAGCAAGAAATCTCCCCCAAAAGACTGCAGAAGTGATCCTATCAAAGCAAACTGGGAGCATGTTTATCACCAACAGGGAAGCCAGCAAGAAAAATCATCAACCCCCTGGAATACTTCAGGACACCATCACGAGTGCAAGTCAAGTGCCAGCTGGAGTGGCTTCCTACCCAAATGTTGACTAGTAACAGAGCGTGTTATTAATTAAACTCTAGGAAACTCTGGAAGCAAAAGGACTTTATGATACTTCAAGAAGAACTTTGCACATAATTCCCTGAGGGAATTACTGGTGAGAGTAATAACTGTTTATGTTTCAGGTGGTGGTTTTGCAGATAAAACTGAAGATATAGCTCCACTTATAACACAAGGAGTCCCCCTGTATCTGATGAGGGCGTAAGATGAATATTGGTTGGGTCACAGGAACAGAATGCCAGATTACAGTAACAGCAGGAACTAAACCAAATATTCCATAAAAATTTTCAGAATAAAAATTCTGTCACAACAGAATAGACAGTTGCATTTCATTCAAAACTGAGACCATCATCCTCACCTCTCAGACTGGGTCTAAGATAGAATTTTATAAACTGCCTTTTCCAAACACTACACATAGGAGGTTATTTCCACCCAACTGGTAGCCAAACTTCATAAAAAGGCAACAGTTACTGACACAGAAAGGTCACATCTATGCAGAAAGGTGATATTTTATTTTACACTTGGTGTTGAACAACTTTTCAGAAGAAAGCTCACACCAGAATCCTTAATATATACCTTAATACTGTGCAAGGTAGTAAAAGGAAGGAATTACTCCAAAAAATTCATTTTTTTGAAATCTAAAAATCAAATATTCCATCCCCAACAACGAAGAGGAGGATGGGTTTGGATTTTTTTAGATACTTAAAGCAGAGAGAAAGAAAAACATTAAGGTGAATTTAGTATTAGATAAGAGATTTCCATGCTGTATTTCAAATCATTAAAAGCATGTCAAATTATCATTTTTTTCAAAAGAAATATCAATACCTTTGACCCAGCATTCAATAACCTGTAATTAGCAAATTAATGTGAAATATATAATGAAATCAATACAACCGTGCGACAATTAATGTATAAAAACACCTTGTCACTTACTGGCTGATTCCCTCAAATGAAGCTTCTTTGGAGACATTTCCACTATCAGTATTAACACCGCGCTGGGAGGGAAAAGATTAAAAGGACCATCACTCTGTGCTAAACACAAGTATGTGAGATTTTCAACAAGGGGCGAACCTGACTACAGTAAATCTTTAGAAAAAGTTATAATTATAAGTCTTATTTGAAACCACTATAAAAAAATAAGGACTGTTTGCTCAAGAAGAGATCAAAACAGGCAGTATTTCAAAGGAGACTGGCACAGAATTCAGGCGAGGATGCACTGCTTAGGAACCCGGCAGTCTTGGATTTCTAATTCCCTTATTTCTTCATTCCTAATTCCCTAATTTCCTATTATACTGGAAGAGCAGTATAATAATAAAAGGCAAGAGAATAAAAAAAAATCACGATTTTTTAAAAGCCATCTCATTTAAAAAGAATGGATTCTCCCTGCCCTGGCAATGCCTCCCGTGCAGACGTGCACGCGCTCCCCGCCGCGTGCAGCAGCGGAAGCGGGAGGCTCTTGGTGGCTGCCCAGCCCTGCTGCCGGCACGCAGGGACCCTCAGGAGCAGCATCCCGGCTCCGCATCCCCAGCAGGGCCTTGGCAGGACTCCCCAGCCCAGGGAACAGGGAATGTGCTTCCCTTCTCCACTCCAGGCTTTACTGTGGTGCTGTGGAAGGGTGAAAGCGTCACAGCTCCATCCCCTCAACCAGGGGTTATGTCAAAAATCCCATTTTCAAAGGGACCCTCACAGTGTGAGGATTCATCAACAACGTGATGTCCAGAAACTCACTGAAAGGAGAGCAGAGCACACAAATATTTTCTTTCCCATTTTTCTGAAAGAACATGCTAGAAAGAAACAGGCTCATCTTATATGTTTTTATATATAAAATATATATAAAGCCTGTTGCTTTCTATATATACTATATATTTCTTAGTGAAAGAATGGATGAAGACTATTTATGACCTCTTGTTCTTAGTGGATAAAGAGATCATATCTCATGCTATTTAAATGCCTAAGGAGGATTATTTTTTAAGAGACTTCTGTCTAGCAACTATCATGGACAAAAAAAAAGAAATTCAGGAGCTGCCACTGCACTTGCTGTAAGGTAAAGCTCAGAGTCAGCAACTCATTTCTTTTACATATATATATGAATGAATATATATATATATCTCAAAGTCAACAAATCAGACAATCTTAAAATGAAAGATAAGTTTACAAAGCATCTGTCAGTGAAAGAAACTGGGGGAGAGGTGACAGGGAAGGAGGAATTTGCAGGCTCTACCTCCACTTGTTCACTAATTCACTAAGTAAGCAGCATTCAAAATAATTGAGAGGCTTTTGTTCACACCTTACCAACCCAACTCTATGCACAGAAAATATCCCCTGAATTATTAGGAGAATTGGGCCCATAGAAAGGTCTAAATATGCACGTGGCCAGAGCAACAGAAGAGAAAATGGAGTTTGAAGTCATTGCACACAGGCTAGAGGGTATCACAGCTGACATTAAGTCATGTTTTACTCAAACACACATAAAGGCACAGAAAACATAAATTAGAAGGCCAAAGCTGATCCTCTTACTAGAATTGAAATTTGTTCTTTAGAATAGTATCACTCACCAGAGTGAGAAGGGTAGATGGTTTCTTTGAAGCCAAGACATTGGATATCTAAAAAAGAAATTTTAAATTCCCATTAAGTATTTTCCTCCTCATGATCACATTTGATTCTCCATTTCTTTAGGCAACATCTGAAATATTTCAGATATTGTAGTCATACCTGACACTGGCAACAAGAGTCACTACATCACAAAACACTTAAGACAGAAATGCATTGCTTAAGCCAATGGTCTCCTTTAAAAACCACAAATATCAACTATGCCTTAATCTTAGATCCACAGTCATCCTTTGGAAAAAAGAGGAAATACGAGTCAAATGCTGTAACGTGACACAAAAATAAAGAATAACAGGGAACTGCATCTGCAATGCACTACTGCATATAAAACACATGCATTAATATTATAATATACAATGCTCTGCATATTTACTGCTATTCTCTTGGGTCATCTTTTACTAACTAGAACAGGCTCTTCTGGTGTCTTTCAAGCATTTGTAACCTGAGACTACAAGGTCTCCTGCAAGGATTTATGCCACGCTTGCACAAACAGAGATGGAGGCTCTGAGTTCTCAGCTCGTGCCACGTGTTTGCCACCGCTGCAAACACAGGAAACCAAACGGGAACAAAATTGCATCCCTCCCAGTAATGCTGCCTAATGGAAACTAAGCTCAGCTTTACTGACCCAACAGTTTTCCCCTCTGCGCTTCCTAGCAAATGGCTAGCAGAATAACCAGTGCTTTGGGCTCCTTAAAGATTGCTATTAACGGCTTTTAATTCATTTCAAAGGGCAGCCAACATTTTTGAACAGCCTGATTTCCTGACAGGTTAAAGAACAAATGAGAAATGTGCAGCATTCACCAAAGGACTCACTCAGCCCATTTTCGGGGGGACAGAAAGCATAAATGCTCAGCTCACCACAAAGGGTTAACATTTGAATTATTATACAGCAGTCTTATTAAATGAACACAGAGACATCTTTAGTCTCTACTGCACTATTGCTAAATCAATATGCACTCGCCCTAAGTTACAACTCCTTGGTCTTAATGGATTCTTGGTTTCCTGCTCATAGAATATTATTGGTATTTTTAAATGCTTTGGCCTTTGCTTGCAAGTATGTTTAGATAAAAGTAAAAGGGGGAGAGGACTTTAAATACACTAAGGTCAGACAACAAATCAATCCCTGCCCTACTCTTCTGAGAACCCAGGAGAAAGGGGCTTGCAGAGCTGCTGCAGGGAGCTGGGCACCGACCTGTGCCCGTCTGCAGGCAGGGAACAGATGACATCCACACAGAGCACAGTTCCACCAGGGCTACACCAGCCTAGCAGTGCGCTGGTCGCACTGTCAAAAGGTAGCAAGGTGTAAATATATCAATCCACACTATACTTTGTGGTCTGTGTAGTAATGTTCCTCAGATTTCATGAAATAGCAGGATTAAACACATAGATGACTGGTCATTTGTTGGCATAAAGCTACCCTGTAAATCAGGCTGCTCATGTCCTGGTGCTGGAGAATCATTGTGTTGGTATCAGGCAAAAGTTACAGCCAGAGCCTTTGAAAGACAAACAACTGCAAGCTCCAACAGCCTCTACTTTCAGCCCACGTATTCTAGGCAGAAAATGGTTCTTCTGTTGGGACAATTCACTGTACACAAAAAGAGGTCTTTTTCTCAGCAATGAGGTTTTTAGCTGTAAGGAAAAGAGTATACAAAAGTGCAATAGAGGAATTTTTTAAATGGGAAGTTCTTCAAAACAACAAAATGTATTTTTTTTTAAATAAAATATGCACTTTCCCACTTTCCTATTTGGAATTTTCACTCTCTGAGAGCTAAACATTGAAATGACTGCATTTTGCATGATGCCAACTCACACACATCAAAAGAGAACCTCTTCACAGCTTCCTCCATCTGCAATTACCAAATCACGGGATCAAACTTCACTTTACAGCTAAACTCATTATGAAAATGAAATAAAACATCTTCACAGGTGATTGCAGCAAAATTTTGGGCCTAGCGAGTCAGGGTTAGTATTCAACAGGGACAGAAATAGCAAAATCTCCTTTACAAGCTGCTCTCTGTAAAGATCACCCATCGAGCTTGGCAAAAAGACTGCCCTCACCCTGCTGAGCCTTCCTACTGAAAAAAGGAGAGGTAACTGGCCAGGTGCATAATTATATAAACATCTGTTCTCAAAGAAAATGAGAAACCTAACTAAGCAAGTCACACTTACACGTAAAATGTGGATTTGTTTATTCAAATGTCACAATGATTCAAAATAAGAGTAAGGCAGGCGGCCATAACCTACCGTCTGCTGCTTACACCTCCTGTGCTTGGAGGTATAAAACAAACACAGGCTCCCAGGCAGACGTAGGATGTGCTACTTCTGAGTTGCAGTTTCCTCCAATTACCATGCATTGCAAAAAAATTATTCAGTAGGGCATTTCTGCTTGTAGACATTCCTTTTAGCTCCCAGGATGAAGATAAGGTCTTTACAAGAGGCTTATGAGAAGGTCTTTGGAATAAGACCTTAGTGTTCAGCTCAAAATGGCAGCATTTTTTTTCTTTAATTTTTAAATTAAAACTGAATGGTTTATAAGAACGAAGCACCCTATACAGTCAGGAAGCACCCAATAAGTAGGTGAGTAAATCACAGTCACGTATTAATTTTGGATTCATGGAAAAATACTGAGACACAGACTACTCACCTCAGTTACATAGTGAACTTCATCCACAGCATATTTCTTCTTGAAGTATTCAGGGGGGTGAATCCTTTGGAAAGCAAGAGAAAAACATTTGGGTTTAGGTTTGCTGTAACATTCAACAGCTTAAGGCCACCGACAATGAAAAAATGCCCTCTGCTATTACAGTAACAGAATCAGATGTGTGGAAAGTTTTAATAATCTTATTCTTGTTTCCATTTCTCCTTTAATAGATTACACATAAAGTTAGTAAGTTGTAAGATAACTATGTTTTAAATCTGTGACGTGCTTGATACTTAGATTTCATCATCTCCTCCTAAAAGAGAGGTTTCTTCTCGCCCTTTCCACCAAAGGATGTTGAGATGTAAGCATGTAAGAGATCTGCTGCCAGATGATTATCCAGGAGAATGTATTCTCAAATACATTCAATCTCAAAAGCTCCCCAAAACTTACACAGACACAAGCAGCTTCCCACAGCACCTGGGTTCCTCTCTCATTGAGCCAGGTCACCTGTACACGTCCAGCTCCATCGCTGCCTTCCCGACACACAGGAGCCCCAATGGCTCCGCTGTGAGGCTGCCTCTCCATGGATTACTAGGAAGATTTCTGCAAAGCTCTGCCCTACTGCACAGCTGGACAGGAGGATGGGAAAAATGCACATGGAAGCTTGCATCAAAATAGAAAAATTCTGTGGTGTCCAATATGTGCAAAACATACAGGGGGTGCAAGCACGGAAGCCCAGGCAGAAAGCAGAGCAAAGGTGGGCACCAATGGGAATTTTCCATATTCCCTTCAATCAATTTCAACTTTTTCTCCCCTTCAACATGTGCTGTTTGGTCATGTCACTGTCTCACCCTTCCCTTCTCATTCATTCCGGATTCCATCCCCTTCTTCCCATGCAGGGCTAGGGGTGCAGAGCAGCTCTGGTCACAGTGACCCCAGTGACGTGTCCTGGCTGCTGCCTGCGCCTCTGCTCCCTGTTCGCTGTGAATCCCCCAAATTTCTTGGGCATTAACATATTTATGGGGAAAAAAGAGCATGTTCCTTAGCAAAGGCAGGGTTCAACACTCTTTTTCATCCAATTTACATGCAAAATAAGCTAAAGTCTAGAGCTGACCATCATTGTCACAGGGAATGATACTTTCTATCAGATGCTCACTGGCATCATGAAATTCAAAAGTTATATTCAATTATGGCAATTTCAAGCACATTCGATACTTTACAAGGATGAGGAGTATTTTTCTCTGCAAATGACTACAAATGAATCTCAGGTAGAATAAGTTAATTGGTTACAATTCTTAACTTCACTGGTTGCGATGCTGCCATGGGCTGCTAGCTTCAAAATTCTGATTAATGGCTGCAGAGACTACAAATGAAAAACACACCACAGCAGGCCATAAATTAATTAGAAGGATTACCCAAGTGGAAGATATGAACCCAAGTGTTATTGAATCATGTCTCTCATCACCTATCCAAAAAATTAATATTCTTAACAAATTTGAACATGAGCAATAGCCTGCTTTTACTGGCTGTGTGTGTGTGTGTAGGCACAACATTTTTTAGATTCCTCGGTAATATAAATGAGAAAGAATCTACAAAGAATAGTACACACCAACCCTCGAGAGGCTCAGACTCTGCCGTGTAGTTACTACTGTGCAGATTTTGCTGCCAGCTTTGAGACCAAGTGTCACTGCTGGACCCCATTTCAACTCAGTCCTTCACACAGACATGAAACATCTACCCCTCTGTTTACCCACCAATAAGATAAACAGCTCTCGCAGCTTATCTATAAATATCCTAAACATTTTTTAAGCTTTTATGTATTTGGACAAAATTTAAACTTCAATTTCAAGTAACATTCTACTAATGCACTGTTTCAACCTTTAAAGTCAATAAAAACTTAGCTGCATTGTCTAAAGCCATTTCAAAACTGTTGTTCATTACATTGCACAAGCATTCACAACAGCAGCAAATCTTAAGAGATTTGCACAAATTTGACATTGCTGTAAGAATTCCATTTGGCAACATTGCTTTGTATTCTGAAGGAGCCTAGCAAGAGCCTAGAAAAACAAACCAGATAAAACAGTGTTTTCATGTACAGAACGGCCTTCAGAAGACAGGTACAAATGAGATAAGTTCTGTTAACAATTTTTCTCCAGCATATATCTATATATGCCTACATATACATGAAGATATATAGAGATCTATATAGTCACACAGGCCTCAGACAAGAGATGAGCATGTTTAGCAGAGCACGTGAATCACAGGCAATTCCAAGCTTCCCGGAGCATGACAAGTTTTCCAGATTGTCTCCGCTAAAACCTGCACACGATTCCCTCCTTTCCACAACACAACTTAAGCAAAAACCTTGAGCTTTCTGCATGCCTGTTAAAAAGACACTGCTCTGTCTGGCTTTTCTGCACCAGCCTGGTAAAACCCACTTATTCTAACAAGAAGTCCAGTGAATTGGAAGGTGAGGCAAGCAATTTTCCTATACCCTTTACAGGCTTCTCTTAATGTCAGTGCTATTTTCACATAGCTTGAACTTCCCAAAACACCTGCTGTCAACTCATAGGTCATAAAAATGTGAAAGATGAGAATAAGCACGTGTTTTTGCTTTTCAGTTTGATTTCCAGACGCTTTGGTTTCCAGACATTTGATATTGTTACCTGCCCTGCTGCTCGATTTTGCTAACAAGATCTTCCTGCTGCTCTCTGCTCCAACTCTTACAGCTGGCTGAGAACTCCTGTGCCAGCTCCTATAAAACACGTGGATAAACATGCTACTTGTAGCAGGTTTTCTACTGGAAGAGGAATTAGCTCCTCACCAGCACTTTGTGATGCTTCACCATTTTTCTTTCCCCTCAAATATGGAATGAAAATATGTTATTGAACACCTACATCAACAGCAATGTACAAGAGGCAGTTGTGCCACTAGTGCCTCCTAGCACAGGCTGTTAGGATTAGAACAGACAGCTTTGCTTTCTCTCTCGTGCTTTACTAATTCCCAGCCTCAAGTTCTCTTGTCCTTGGCTTCTCTAACCAGGCAGATACGTGAGGCGCATTGCAGGCCCACACGGATTACAGGGCTTTTTTATTTCTACATTATATAAAGAAAGAAACAGTTCAACATTTCTGAAACAAAGGAAAAACAAAGGTTAATGAAAACTGATATGAAAAAGTAGCTTTACATCCACACAAATTATAGCAACTGTGCAATATTAATGTTTGAATACAAAACCCATTTGTCTTCAGATCTGGCCTTGTTTGTGTTTTGAAGGCATTCTTAAAGAATGGTGCTTTATTGCACTTTCGTATCACAAAAGGAAGCAAGTGGTGCATATTAACACAGGCTTAAATGTGAGATAATAACTGATCGGAAAAAGGAAGACATTAAAATACCACCCTATACAGACAGCAAAGCTGCATCCCAGGCTGTTTGACCACGCCTGCCATCAATGAGCTTGAATTAGGGGCAAATAATGGGAATCACCTGCAACTTCCAATCAGCCAAAACCACCACTGACACTCATTTTATTTGCTTTTTAAAGGATCGGTAGTACCATCCAAATGAATGTCAGAAACAATTCTGAGAGTCTATTAATACATCAGGCAGGAAGACAGCAAGCTCTGACAAAAAGCAAGAAACACTGCCTAATGTCATTAAAACGTAGCCTTGTCCACTATTTATTATATGTTAGGCTTTCAAATTCACAGCCTCCGTTACCGGAAAGTGATGTTATTACAAGTAGTAATTAAAAGTAAAGATTAACACAGCTAGAACAGAAACAGAATAGGCAAGTATCAAAGACTCTATTCATGATAAAGCCTAAAGCAAAATGTGTTGTACAAGATAATGTTCAGAACAGCACTCTCTTAAAAGGTCCTGCACTTACTATGTTGATTATTGTCTCAAAGGCATGAGAGGCTGTCAAAGCTCTTATCAACAAATGAGAACAAGATGATTCTTAATGTGGTGAGACAGAAAAGGTAAAACTAGCAAATACTACAGTCAAAGCTTTCAGGGGTAAAGAGGGATAAAGTGCACTATAATTTACAACAGCATTGCTTCCCCCATTCCATTCTGACTTTTACATTTGGAGTAACTGATATAATCCAGCATTTAATGGCAAAATCACTTTCTCCAGAGCAAATAATTTCTCCTCAGCAAAGTGCATGTGTACCAGCCTGATGACACGTGGAGCTGGCAGGTCCCTGCACTGGCTGCCCAGCGGTGCCCCTCTCTCCAGGGCAGCACAAACACCCACCCGAGACGAGACACACACACAGGTTACACACACACCTGCCTCACAAATAGAAGCCCCAGGTGCCAACTACTCATTCCTCGGATCTTAACAGGTCGGGCTTAAAAAACAGCCAAAGTTTCAGTGAGACTTTGCACACGGAATAAGACTCCTGGTAATGACTAAGCTACATGAACAGAAATAATATAGAACCCATGTAGAACTGAAGGAGGAAAATGGATAAAAAAGAATTGGTTTAATGCTGTCAAAAATTCACTAGTGTTCTGCCTCCTTATCCCAGTATCATTAGGTTAGCAGATGGCAAAGCATTAACTAAACACGAAGGTGTCCACAGCTACTGCAAAGAGCAACACAGGAGGTTTTACAAGATATTACCAGATGTTCCTGACTTTGCCACCAAAAACACAATCTCCTAGACGTGTAAAAGGAATTTCCCTCTCTCAAACAAGAAGATTAAAAGGCATGAAGTTAGATTTGAAATATAACGTGGTACAAATGGGCTTGCTGGCAGAAAAAGGGAGAAAGGCCTTTAACAGTTACTGAAATTGCCAAACTGTGCGTCCAGCTTCAGGTCTACGCTGACAGAGACAATAAATCCGTGAACTGCTATAAGTTACTACTATTTTTTTAAAAATATTCTCAACACAGAACACAGAAATTTAAGCAGGTAGGAAGTAAAGATCTGTAAAAAATATGTTTTAATTAAAAACATCAAAATTTTAATCAAAAACATACATTCAACTTGGACTAATAAGGCTTTTGGACAGTTGAAATGCTGTAAGAATTGCTAGACTGATAAAATTGCTTTATCATGGATAACTTGAGAGGTCAGAGCATTAAAGTAGAACAGTTTTTGGAAGAACAATCATCAGCAAAGTGGCAAGAGCAACCCAGACACTAATTATTCTATAAAAATGGTTTTTGTCACAAGAGAAATACCATAACAAACAAAAGGGAAACAAGAAACGGAAATCACTGTACTGTGGAAGAAAATGGAATCATGGAAAACATGCAGCATGGGGAACTACCCAGAGCAAGTCTCATCAGTCAAATGCAATCAGCTTTATTGTGTGGAGTTCTGCAAAGACTGGATGAAGAGTAAAGCAACAGATGCACTATCTGTGTAAGAGTAAAACATTTGATAAAAACAACTCCCCAAAGAATCTCACTCTCAAAAATCAACTCAAATTGGCTTGGACAGGAACACAAGGATGTGACCTGATATCCAATAGCTGTAAAAAAGAGTGTAAACTAGAAAAATAAATAAAAATAGTTAAATAAAAAGATGAGCTTTTTTAAGAACTGCAAAAAACACTAACTACCCACTGACAAATGCTGTGCCCATTGAGGCTGATATTTTCAGAAGTTAAAATGATAAACAGCAATGGACTGCAAGTCTTGCTTAGTGGGATACTGCAAAGACTGAAATTATTTCTCATGGTATTCAGACATAAAAGCAGGACTGAATATGTTCAGGAGATCCACAGATGGTATTTACAGGTGGTAACAAACTTTGCAGATAAACTGCCATTTGGTATAAAACAGTAATAAAATGACCTAAAGGAACTTAAAACTTTTTTTTTTTTTAATGGTAGAATAAAGATTCAGTGGGGAGGAAGAAGGAACAAAGGTCGGGAAAAGATCAAGCTGATACGTGTAGAAGAAAATGTCAACTAATCTTGAGAGCAAAGTGCAGGAAATAATATCAGGCAATGACAAGGCAGACTGGTTGAGAAGATAAAACCAAAAACCCCTCTACAAGATGCTGTTTGAATACCCAGTCCTACAGCTTGTTACAGAATAGAGACCCACATGCACCACATCAGTAAAGCTTATTTTGGAAAATGTCTTGCATTTCCGAAAAATCTGCATTAAAAAAGGGAATTAGAGTGATGTAAAGCCTGCACCCTACAACCTCCCCTCCCCAAAAGCTCTTACGCCTCCAAAGGGGGGTTCAGTTTGCATTGACCACAACTTCCTGCACCCAAAACCCTACACTGATTAACACCCCAGCCTCAGCCACATCACACACCACGCAGTACTTAAGTTACCATCCACAATTATTCAGAATACAAATGCCACATCTGATGGATTCCCTGGAAGAAAAAGAAATCCAGAAGTGATTTCTTAGCTGTGGAGTATGCAAGAAAAAAAATAATAAAAATAAAACCACTTTTGCACCATTTCAAAAGGCAGTAAAACTTCTCAGCTTTGCTCAACTCAGTCAAATTTAATCACCAAAACCAAAGTTTGCTTTTGACTGTAACCTACTGAGAAAATGAGGATAATCTTTAAGAAGCTCATTAGGTCACAGAGAAAAAAAAATTAACATTTGTAAAGCATTTCATTGTGTATTACCGTAGTCCCAAAGAGCCACACCAGGCTTAAGCTTGTAAATACAGACAGTTTTCAATGGGCTTCTTGGGGAAAAGAAAGGATACAATGTTAGATTAACACTGTTACAGTTACGAACAGCCCAGCAGGGCTTTAAGGAAAACACAGGAAATTGCATATAAATATTTCTCTGTCCAATTTAATACATATTTCTCAAGTTAGAGCATGAAAGTGTTAAAATATTTTTGTTTTCCATGAAAAATGCTCTTTATGTGGCGAGGCAATTAAGTTATTTTGGCATCCGCTCCACATAAAGCAGCTGCTGTACGGTATGTTTTACTTTATAAAATATCTTTAATCAGCACACTGACTAGTTCTGTCATTTATAATTAGGGAGGTAAATGGCAGGTGCAGCATTAATTAGCAAAATTGAAGCCTCCATGCAAGACAGGCAGTCACACCAGCCCCCTGCTTCCCGGGAATAAAGGCAGTAACCAAAGGCTCTGCACCACAAGCTCGCCTGGCTACGACCACGCGCAGAAGGCAGGACGTGTAACGGGGCCCGACCGCTCACAACGTGCAGATCTTACCCTTAAACTCCACTGCAGAAACTCTGGCCTTTCCAGCTCCATTAAATTTCTTCAAAATCTTCAGTCTGTATTTTAATGCTCTACCTCTCCTGAAGCAGACACCCATCAGAGTCTAACCTTATCATTTCAACCCTGAGTTATTATTGCAGCTGCAGACAACACTTGCTGGCTCAAAGACCAGCAACAGGCAGCAGTATGAGCAGAGGTGCAGCTGGTAAGATTAAAATAACCGTAATTTCCCCAGTTCCCCCGGAATGTAACACTTCACCCAGCTCTAACAAATTCTCTCAACCACTTCATTGTTTTTGGCCAAAATACGACTGTAAAATTGAAAGAAACAGAGAAGCTTCTTTGCTTCTTATGCATTATTTAAAGGGAAAAGGAGTTAACACTGATTGCCACATTACCTAAGTGCTATCTCCGAACAAAAAGGGGGTTAGTGTGAAAGAGCAACAGTCTAGCCAAAAACAATACACTTTTATTATAAAATCCAATCATTTTGGAGCCCACAGAAGCAGGAAAGAGCCTCCTGCTGTAATTTAAAAATATCTATGTTTCCACCAAAACTCAAGCAGCAGTTTTCCAATCTGCCTTGAACAGAAAACAGAATCAGCACCAGACAAATCAATGCCACCCTGCACTGTGACCTGCAGAGCAGCCGTAGAGCTCTGTACGATACCAAGTTTGTAGAACACCATGCAAGGAACTTAGCAGATCTCTGCTTCGTGCCCGTTAAACGAACGTTTCTTCAACGGGCAGAGAACTCCTTCCACACGAGCACCGCCAAGGCACGCAACAGCAGATAAACAACAGAGGATGGAGGGCAATCTCATTTCTTTCAAAGCTGATTTTGACTTAAAATCGACTCTTCTGGGAAGGAGCACAATCGCTAGCACTGTGCGGCACCCCCTGCCAACCAGCTTATGAAGCAGAACTGCTGCTGACTCTCAGATGAGTTATTCATCCATCCTCTTTCTGACAAGCAGAGAGCTCACGGCCAGGCTGACAGGAAAGAAAACAGAACTAGCAGAGGGATTCACGAGGGCAAGGAGGAGAATTTAGAAGGCAGAAGTGTTGTGGTAAAAACAACTACCTCACTATATTTGTGAGGTAATTGTCAAGAGAGGTAAAGGCAATAAACATTTTTATCCACTTTTAAAATTCCATAAATGAACCGACAGTGAATGCTGCACAACAAATTTAAAAAGCTACTATTAGTACAGAACACACTATTTTCTTTAAAAATGCAAAATGACACAGTGGATGCTCAATAATATTTAAAGACTTTTCAGATGAGGCATAATCAGCAGCAAACAGCTGATGTGAACTAGCAAAAGAGAAGGGGAGGCAAAAGCTTTGTCTGTAAATGCAATCAAACCCCATCAGGGAACAGAGTTTAAAGGACACACGTGGGAGCTAAACAGAACCTACCCTCCCAAACAGCTGCAGCTTTCAGATGAAATATTTCAGAGAGCAGTACTCACGTTTTAAAATGATCACAAACAATTTCAGATACAAGACAGGTCTAAGACAGTGATATCCACATAAACTCCCCAAGAAGACAGCAGCCATGCCCTACCATATGGTCTGACACACTTGGGCATATGGGATTGGTTGCAACTGTTTTCCTTTTCCCAAATTACCATTAAAATAGAAGCAATAGCTTCAATTAGAAATAGAGCAATCTGAGCTCAAAATATTAAATTAGAAGTAATCCAATATTCTGAGATGGTGTAGATACCAAAAAATACAGATCGCTGGTTTAAATATAATTAAGATTGGGAAAGTAAATGAACACATAAATAAATCAGTTCTTTCAGTGCTATGGCACTGAGCAATATTTACTACTGGCGTAGAACGAACAAAAAAAGTGATATCTGTGGCATATTCATAGGAAAGAATTAAATTTATTTTCTCATAGCCTCTTATTTCATACTTAAAACGTACGAACAAAGAGGCTAAACTACCTTCTCCCATTCAAAAAGACCCCTTAGCCAAGAAGGGTGCAAACTGGTAAATTAACCTGAAAAGGTCTGCTTTCCTGTTTCCCTTCTCTTGTGTCTTAACAGAGGTCTTGGTTTGCTTTGTGGTTATTCCTTTCACGGATACTGTAGAAGCATTTTAATTCTAAATGTACCATCTACCAGCAAATGGGAGTATCACTTGATATCGTAGGTCAATACTAACAGATAAGAATGGGGGACCATATGAACAATCGGTATTAAAAATCAGATAGCTGTTCAAACACTTACATTACACAACCAGACACATTAAAACATAGCAAAAGAGTTTGTCGAGTTTGTCTTACTTTCCCATCCAAACTGCATAGCTTTCGGGGAGTTGTGGAACAAAAAGGATGGATCTTCCAGTATCAACATCAACCGTTCCAAAGCAGCCTGCTTCAGTCACTCCGAAAGTCCAGTGAAAGTAGGATTCCTAGGAGAAGATGAAATACCCTCTTAGAATAAGACCCTCATTTCACCAACTGTAAAAATACAGTGTGACACATACTAGTTCCCTGCATTTGAAAAAGATCCCTTTTGCTTCTGGAAGGGAAGGAAGTGGGTTTGATTTAAAGCATTTCAGTACAATCTGTTTTAGTAATGCAAATCTTTCCTGGCAACTGGACCATGCTCAGCAAAACACACCACTTGACTCAGGACAGTAAATATGTAATTAAATATATTCCTCCAAACTAAAATGAGGACGAGTACTAGGAAGAAACAAGCATGTTTCACGACAGAAGCAGGCAAGAGCAGAGTGCAGATTCATTGAGTTGGGAGGGGAGTCCTGCAGCGAAGACTGAACTTCCTCTAGAGAAGAGGAAGCTGCAATGAAAATAGCCCTTGGTCAAATGGTTATTCCGCATTGAGAAAAAGTAAACAACAAAAAACACATAACAGAACATAGAGATTAATGACAGTGATAAGGACAAGACAAAAAAGTTGTGTACACAGACATATGCTCTGTTACCTCTGAAGGCGTATAAAACTCCTCTTAAAACAGACCAGTAACTGCATTAAGTCATGCACTACCTAGTTTAGAAGATAGAATGTATTTGCTTTGTTTCTTCATAACATAAAACAGTTCAGCTAAATTAACAAATTAAAGTGGAGCAGCATTACAGCATTGAAGAGCAGAGGCAAGGCAAAGCACACAAGCTTGCAGAACAGTCACAATTTGTTATGTTATGCCAACTTTAACAAGGACTACAAAAGAATTTAGCATGACATTAACAAGTTAGTCTTATTTGTAAAACCGCAACACACAAGTACTTATGAAGGAGTCCAGTTTAAAAACATACATTGTGGTAACTTCTAATTTACAACTTGTTATGTGCAAAATGCTATTAACAAAGGCTTTGAATACAAGCTTCTGTGAATTAATTCAATCTCTAGCACTTAGGTCAACAGTCGCACACTGCACAACAAAATAAAGGTTATTTTTTGGTGACAGACAGGACTGAAAAAAACAAGCATTCAGTTTCTATGATTATGTTACATAAAGACTAATAGAAACCGATTTAGCCCATTAAACGAATCACAAGCCTAAATATTAAAGCACTGAAAGTAAGTCCGAGTTGAAGAGGTAAAGTAACAAAGAAGCAAAGTAATGCAAATGTGCACACACCTCTGAGATAAATAACAATAAAGAACTTAAGAACGATGCACTACAAGGGCCAGTTCCTTAACTGATTTGAGATTTCGCTTCAGCCCCTACCTGGCGAAACACGACCCCGGTGTCAGTGCAGTATCTCTGGGTTTCCTCGCCACCCTGCAGCAGGACAAGCGAGCTGGCCGGCACGTCCTTGCTCTGCCGCAGGCGGTCACAGAGGCGCCGTCGGTTCAGGGCGAAGAGCGCTGCCGGCACCCTCAACGTCTCGTTCCCCAGCCAAAAGGAGGGCCTAGCAAGGAGAGTTTTATGTTGATAAGCAACAGAAGACAAAACAATGGTTAACATGACTTAGAGGCACAGTGTTACTTTACCACAATATAGCAAAGGAAGCTTAATTCAAACCATACAAACATGATGTTTACAAGCATCTGTGCCAAGGAGTAGTTAAAACATCCCACTCTAGCTATGACGCATAATGCTACAGAGAGAAGAACAAAATGCACCTTTCTCACGAGTACCAAAGAAAAGGAGCAGGCCCAGAAATCCAAACCCATGGATCTCTCCAACATGGACGTGCCGTGCGCCTGCACTCGCGCACCAGCGGCAGCTGCAGGAGGGGCCCGCGCTCCTGTCCTGCTCCAGCAGCTGCTGCTACCGCCGGGAGCCCTAGCAGCTCTCATCAAGAGGGACTCAGCTCAGAGAAGAAAGTTTGAGACACTTCTTTTAAAAAATGGTTATTAATTCAACCATTTTAAATACTACAAACACTGCAAAAACACATTGCTGATTTGCTTGCATTTTTACAGGCCCATACTTGCACTTTTTAGACCTTCCTTTGAAGCAATGTAGCTTGTAGAAGGTTTTACTTATTTATTTACTTTAAACACATCCGAACAGAAAAGAATCTTACAGAGCATTTCCCTATTTTATGTTTGTTTCAGCAAAACAGTGATTTGGAGCTTCAATACTACAAATGAATACTGTTTTATCAATAAAACTGTAAGATTTAAGTCCATTTTTCAGTCAAATCTACTTCACCTTCTCTCAGCTTATTGAAGACACTTCCAAAGAGCTAGATGGTCACTTCCTATTAAAGTGAATGGTGCAGTTAAATTGTTACTATGCTAAAATGGCACATGAACAACCTATGAATTTAACCTTAGAGAATGACATTTTGTTGCAGTTTTCAGTGAAAGAAAATTAAAGCAACCTTGGACTTATAGTCACATAAAAAGCTTCCTGAAAGACTTTGTCAGCATCAGAAATGTAAATTGTACTATTTCTTACTGCAGACACAGCATAAAAGATCTAATAAAATAATTTATTTTACTTGTTTATAACTACTTGATGTAACAGTGCAAGTCATTTCAGAAGGCAAAAGCCTTCTCTTGCTAATCCAATTGTAAAACTACCTGTCTAGGAGTTTAGCTGACGATGCACAAAGCCCAGATGTGATTATTTTTATTCCTCGCCCCACACCTGATAACGCAGGCAACAAGGCAGGGGCTGATAAGGAGGACAGCAGAAAGCCTGTCGTGCCACATGGGGCCTCAAGGAAGCCCAGCTGAAGTTTTCACAAGTTTTCTAGGTTTGGAGAGGTTACACTTTGTTATTTTATGCAGCATCTAAAGTTTTGCTTTTGTTCTGAGGTGCCTACCAGAACACACTGGTAACCATGAATCCTACTTTTCTGCAGTTTTTCCTATTTTTCACCTAACCTTCTTGTTTCTCCGCTTTTTTCGCCCAGACTGCCACTGCACCCTCAGCAGGTCCCCAGGGCAGACACCAGGGAGGCTCGGGGAGCACCGGCCGCTCTCCCGCAGACCTGCTGTTCCTGTTTATCCGCCGGCTCTTCCCGCCGCTCTGGGCCCGGTCCCGGTCCCGGCTGGGCTCCCAGCCCGGCCCGCGGGGCGAGGCCGAGGCCGCCAGGCTGCGAACCGGCCCCTGCCGCCCCCGGCGCTTCCCGCACCCGCCGGCTCGGAGCCGCGGCCCGGGGCGCCCCTCGTGCGGGCGGCTCCGCAGCGCCTCTCCCCGCAACGCTGACACGTTCTAAAGGAACCGTTTCAAGGAACGGCAAAAAGCAAAGCCATAACGCACCCCGCTCCCCGCGCTTACCCCGCCGCCGCGGCCATGTTGCCTCGCCGGGCTCGCCGGTCACGTGAGGCGGGGCGGGGCCGCGGGAGCCCCGCCCGTTCTCGCCGTTCGCGCCGTTGCCGCCCTCAGGCGCGCGCCGCGGCTGCCCCTGAGGCGGCGCCGGCCGTTGCTGCCCTCAGGCCGTGTCCCCGGGCGGCTCTCGGCCTCCCGCCCCCAGGGCCTCGTCCCGGAGCGTTCCTGGAGATAACGCCCGGCGCGGATGGCGATCCCGGGATAATAAACGTTACCGGCTGCTGGGCGGCCAAGCTGTGCACAGGGCGCGGGCGGCCCTGGCCCTATGCGCGACACCACGGGGCCACGCGGAGGGAGACTGCTCTGATCACGGAATCCTTGCGGTTGGAAAGGACCTTCCGCGTCCTCGAGCCCAGCTGCAAACACCCTTACGGGCTCCGGACAGCGTGCGGGAACCGCAACGGCCGCGTGGCCGCCCTTCAAACCCGCCTGCCCACCCTTGCCTTACCATCCGTTTTAAAAAGAGTGTTTATTCTATCTTGTAGCTTTCCAAAGCAGGTCTACTTAATGCAGCTTATTTTAATTTCCTCGTTTCTTCCCAGGGTCACCATGTCCTGCTTTCAAAAGCAGTCCTTGAGAGCTAGAAGAATTACCTCTATTGTATTAAAACTCAATAGAAAATGAAGCTCAATTCTTGGAGTCTTTAGGGGAAAAAACATGTTTTATTTTGTTGCTTGTTACCTTAAACTTACTATTCTCCTGTCTCAGGATTTGAAGGAACAGATCTTGTGCAATATGCACAAATTAAACCCATTTGCAAGGTGGCTGTGCTGGCAGCCTGCTGCAATGCCAAGCAGAGGCAGCCAGGCTGGGGGCAAGGCTTTATTGCACACATACATAACGTTAATTCTCTCTTTGCAACTGCATTTGACTCTGCAACCGAGATCACTCGTGGTAGCCCTGAACGCCTGAGAGACTGGTTTAGAGGAATTCCTCCAAAGGTTGGGCTTGACAGTTATTGTCACTTATGTTCCACTTGGGCTGATCTCCATGGTAAAGATCATTCCCTTTTATGCTGAAGGCCTGATTTTGCACTCTTGGTATCCTCAAAATTCCCTTCCGTAGCAGTTGGGGATATGGGAGACGCAACATTGCGACACGCAATGGGAATGTGCCCTGGCCAGAATTTTGAGGTAAATTTGCCACGTGAGCAGACCAAAAAACACAGCGAGAGCCCCCAGTCTCCAAAGGTCATTCAAAAACCGACTAGAACAAAGTTCCTCTTAAATAGGGAAAACACAAACCTGCAGAATGAGGCAAAGTAGAACAAAAACGAGGTTTCACCGCAGCCCTTGCTAGCCTCTGGGCTTGCAGCCTGCCCAAGACATTGCTCTGAGCCCAGCCAGTGTCCCCCCTACCTGTGAAGGCCCCAATGTCCTCATCTAACACACAATTACTTTCAGCAAAAGGGAGACGTTACCTGTCACAGAGCCCAGGATGCGAATCAAAAAAAGCTGCTCCTGTAGCGAGCCTCCCCTGCAGCGTCTCTAACCCTGCTTCACACAGTCTAAAACTAGGACTCTTGGGTAGCCCTTTCATCCTGCAGAATCATGTCTCTCCTCAGGCTATGCTCCAGTTAGCCCAAAGTAGCTACATCGCATGAAAATCTCTCTTTATTCTTATCATAAAGACCTAAAGCCACTCAAAACTTCTGTAGCAGGCACAAAAAAGGCTGCAGAAGGGCAGCACCTGCACCTGGCACAGAAGGGAAGGTTACTGAAACTAGTGGTCACCTCACACTTGGATAATAAAACAAGCATTCATAAATAGGTACCAGTACCTTTCACTTGCCTGTTGCTGCTCATCCCTCAGTATTTCAAGTTTTGATCGTGCTCACCAAGCAGAATCACCTTGCTCTCTAAGCAGCTGCAGTCAGCACCTTTGTAGCTTTTCTTCCCTCTCTGAAAATAAATAGCATTAGGTAAATAAACCATCCTTCCATTATTTGGAAACTGTACTACTGCTGCAAATACAGGCCGAGCTATTTTCCTCTGCTGCAAGGTCCAGGCCAGGGGGCAACGTGCTCCAATGTTGAGTGACCAAGGGCACCTTAGGCCCTCCGTAGTACAAACCTTACCTAGATCATGATTTCATTACGAGTTTCAGTTGATTAAATAAAATTCTAGAGCATTTCTGCATTACACAAGCCATTGCTAATACAGAAATAACAGAAAATGCTGATTTATCAGTGCAAAGATACTTATATTCGGCTCAACTAGTATTTCAAAAAGAAAATGGACTCTAGCATTGTTTATTTGCGATAGAAAAGCACTGTTTAAGTAAAAAACAACAGATAAACATTGTAGGTATACATGTGAAAATATTTCACACATTGTGGAAAGAGCTGTTAGTCCAATCATATAATATAGATTCTTATGGCAAAATGTGTTAATAACTATTTTCTTCATCGAGTTACTATGCACATACCCCTACCATTACCTAACTGAAAGGGATACATGTTCTGCCTTTGGTTGATACAATGGCCACATCTTTAACTTGGAATTAAGATGAGAAGGTCTCTTCAAAGTAACATATCGAATAAAAGCATCTGCCTTTGGCATTTTTATGATGAAACAATTTTGAGTAGATTTTCCCACAAGCCCCGAATTTATACTGCTGTATTGATCTTTTGGATCTTGAAATAAAAGTGTGATTTTCCCAAAGCCTGCTTGAACTAAATTATTATAAAAGACAAGCAAGGTAAAGCACTACATTGCCTCATTACTCTCCCTGTTGACTTTCACTTCAGAGCAAGAAATTCTAGTATAATCAAAATGTGCCCATCAAGGATTTGAGAGTCTAATGTAGCTTCTCACTCCATCGATTGATTTTTATGAATTTTTATAATTTTATTTTTGTCCTTTGGGGCAACTCCTTAGCTAGTATAAACTGTCATTATTCCATTTAAATCAATCTACCCATCTGTATTTATAAGATGCTGCCCCAGGAACTCAAACATGTTTTATAGCGGCACTATCAGACCTGCTCAGAAGACTGTTCCGTTGGTGGGGAGCTCAGTTTCCTGAAGCCGTGTCCTCTTTCACTAGGTACCACACGAGCTCAGCACCGTGATGCCAGCACCGCTCAGCACGGCTTAAGTGCCAGGTATAACAGAGAGGTCGCTCTACTGCACTTTCTTTTTTAGAATTGTAATTAATTACTCTGACAGGTGAACCCTTCCGTTTAATCCAAGCACATATTTTATAGGCAGTGTTGAAGTGAAATTTTACAGAACTGGTTTTAGGGCACGAAGGCAGTCGGTATTTGTGCAGCTGGTATTGCAGCAGCATTACAGTGTTACTGCAGGAACATTTCAGAACAAATTGTTTTATATTACTCATGATTTATTGCCTGAGCATTTTTCATTTTAAAATGAACATCTGTTTTCTACAAAGAGGAGTGGCAAATGAGCTCTATTTTGAAGGGCAAAAACCAAGTTGTTACCCATGGTAGACAGAGGTACTGGTTCTCTTCTCACCTGCTATAGTGGAGCTGTGGGAAGCAGCTGATGAAGTTACCTTGAGTCAAAATTTTTGTATAGGCTGCATTAATGAACAAGTGGCCAATTGTGTAATGGGAAAGCATTGTTTCCCATGCAAGTTTTCTGAGTTATCACAAATTTTACTGAAATCCTGAAAATATATTGTACAGTTATAATACAGAACATGCTTGCAAATCTTATTTTTTTCTTACATTAATCTCTACATAATATACTCTCCTACCAGTGCATAACAAATCCCCAAACAAGCTTATAATATGCTTATGTAAATATTTTCTCAAAAGATTAATGCCTTCAGGTTTTTGCAGATTATGATTTTTATCTTCACGCTGATTTAAAGTCAGATTTTTTTTTTAAAGAAAACTGTCTTTATTTACTGTGTATCAGAAGAGTATTTTCCACTGTGAGATCTTGCATTCAAATTTTAAGCCACAGGTTTATCAAGATCTGTACTCTGTTGTTGATGATGAAACTGCTCCACATAGACATATTAGAGCCATCTATGAAGAGAGCTGCTAACCTGAAGCAAGTTAATACATGTTTTCCCCCAGTTTTTGCAAGGACAACATCTCCCTTTCCTGCTGAAAGCAGCCCTGCCATCCTTACCAACAAAGGAGGCCCTGCTCCCACGACATCCGTTCCTGGCTGGAAAGTGTCGGAATTCTGGTCCCGAGGCAGATGCAAGGGTTAGTTTCCAGGGCCAACGGCAGAAGATTGGATGTACAACCTTCTATTCATACGAACCACGCGACTAATCTCTTTTTCATCAGGCTGCACATTTAACCCAGCTGGCTCCTGGCTTCAATTTAACGACAAAGTGATAAGCAATTGGCCTAGCTGATTATCTAATCATATTGATGCCTTGTGTGACCAGAGCAATGTTTTGGGTTGGTCACACCAGTTATGCTGCCTTGTACCCAAAGTCTATTCCCCTAAGAGAGTTCTAACAAGGCAGTTTAGAAAGGAAAGGAGGAGACTGTATAAGAATATGCTAGAAAAGACTAAAAAAAAAAAAAAAGAGAGAGCATCTGAATCCAAGAATTCAATTTTCCCCTTAAAGAGCTTTAAAGAAAGGCTATTTTACCCAATTGCTCTCTACCCCAAAGACCAAATACAGCGTTTCTCCTGGACACTGGAAGCTGTGCCAAACATATAAAGCAGCCCTCTCTCTGCACTTAGGATATGCTTTTTAACATTTTAAATAAACCAACCAGACAGCATTTATTTTATAGAAGCACCTTACCTTTACCTACACTTACCAGACTACGGGCTCCCTGCCATGGTTATTCTGGGCACAGATACTCCCCAAGGGGCCCTGACGCACCCCGAGCCCCCGTCCTTCGCTGTCCGGGCTCCAAACTCAAGCATCCCTGACAGTTTTGCACTTCCCCACCATTAACACAACAGTGATGTCTAAGAGCTGGTTATGTGCAGCTCGGGCTCAGCTTCGGTTCTGCTGGATTATCTGGGAATTTGGTGCAGCTCTGGCCACACCGGGAG